TTGCGAAACGCTTCGGCATTGGTTTGTCCACCTTGAACCGAATTCGCCGCATGTTCGGTGTGACTGAAGAGCACAGAAAAACGATCCTCCAACTGTTCTATCGTGGCTGCACAAGAGCGCAGATTGTGCGCAAGGTCACCATGGAGCCGGCTGCCGTGGACGCTGTAATTCAACAAGCCGGGTATACTTTTGCAGCGCGCAATAAGATTAGTGAAAAGCAGAAAGCAGGTATACTTCGCTGCTTCGACGAGGGCCTCAGTAGATCGTATATCATGCAAAAGTTCCACCTGTCGAAAGCCACTATGCAACTACTTTTACGGCAAAATGGCAAAACCTTCCGGAAGCGCCCACGAAAGAAGTACGAACAGACGCGCGCTGCCGTCTTGAAACTGCATGCAGAGGGATTGTCGTCTCGTGCCATCGCCAAACAGCTTAACGTGAGCAAATCGGCGGCTGCGAAAATGATGAAAACTGTCGGCCATGAAGCGACCCCGCCGGAAGTGGCCCAAGTTATTCAGGCACCACGAGATAACGGGAACGGTGGCAGCGACACCAAGCGTGAACGCCGAAAGGGTCGCTCAATGGACCTGCAACGTGAGAAACCAGGCGCTGAACGCGGCAGCTATGATCGCAATGGAAAAACTGCAATGGATATCCGTTCTTCTGCATGTAATACCGAAGAAGGGGAGTACTACTTGCCAGGAGCAGTCATGCGCTCGGATTCCGAGGAAAGCCAGACTGGTAAGAACAGCAACTGCCTTATAGCAGTTTACCACACAATCGAGCAATGTACCACACACTGTTGTGCAAATAAGAAAAAAGTTTTTTGGAAAAGTACCCAAACCGTCGGTCCGGTGGCAAGGACGTTTAAGTAGCCGGGTGGTAGTCTTAATGCCAAGAGATAAGTCTTAATCCATGTTTAGAGGTCAGCAGATATCGCGAGCCGCAACTGGATTCCTTCGATGATTTTTTTGGCGGACAGTACCATCTAGCTAACATGGCTAAGGCAGCGGGTCTCACGACGGAGCGTGTCCGCAGTATCTTAACATCCGGCCGCGACCCGCAACGTCAGTTGCCTGTTTCTCCACAAACATCCAGAGCATTCATGTCGCCGCCCGAAAAGGTTGTGAATTCACAGTGCGATCTCGCGTCCGCGGCGAGCTGTACTCGGGCTAAACACAATTCTCCCGAGATCGAAGAACGGCCGAATGCGCAGACCCAGAACGGTAATGCCGTGTGTTCTAAATGTTTATATACAGTACTAGTTTAAAGATGCTATTTAGCTGATTCCCTTGTTTGTCCTTCCACGGATACGAAAGAACATAATCTCCCGGAATCGGATAACATTTTTACGAGCCGACACACTGAAGAAGAGCCGAACACTGACGCCTACACCGTCACCGCGAGATATGAATGCTATATATGCCGCGTATCATCGGACAGTGAGGATGTGTTTCTGTCGCATTTAACTACTCGAAAGCATCGTGGTCTAATGGAGAAGGGAGTTTTCCTTCGCTGCACGGGATGCACATTCAAAAGCCGGCAACCAATGAAAACGGGCCAACACATTATTGCGTATCAGTCGCGGACTGATGTTAACAGTTGCACTGCTCACGCAATTGCCCCGAATTAAATTCCGCAAGTGACGCATTCAGTAGCTCAAACTATGACTCTGGCTGCTTATAATTTTATACATCTAATTCTCATAATAATATCGTGTTTTGTCTGATAATTCTCTAATGATATTTTTCGCCTTGGTATCGAAAGTACAGTATTATTTATATAAGTTTATTTCTCAATATGTACAAAGGCGAGCTTCGCTCAAGAAAAATGATCAAATGAAGAACTTGTCCCAATTAACATGGGAAGGGACTGTGTACAATACACTCACAGCATTACCACGCATAATCTCCAAACTTAAACGCTGAAACAAAAAACAAGTAGAGCGGCTCTCACCCGTCCTTAAAAACAACTTCTTACCGATCTCTTTTAACGTAACAATGCCGGTCTCACACCAAGTGCCAAAAGTCTCACATGCAAAGGGGACGAAATTACAGCGATCAGTAAGCGACTTGTATTTTCCATTCTTCTCGCGGCAAGCCAATTCGGCGGCGGCGCCAGCACACTTTGGTCGCGTCGATGTATGAATCCGCCATCGTGTCTCTGCAAGTGACGTCCCATACTAACGGCTGTCCGCGGTACCACTTCCAACGCGTGGCTCCATCCGGGCGCTTTCCGTTTTCACGCAAAAAGCCAATGGGCTCCGGATATGACTCAATGCCGGCATTACATAGCGCTCGCAATATGATATCGTTAATGCCATTATGGCGTTCTCTTCTCCCGATGCACTTCTTGCACGCTAGCCCATGGTATCCGTTTTCCGCAACCTCTTTACCACATCTCGCACACGAGTGCTGCTCTACGATCTTAGCGCCAAGCCACAGGCCAACAGAAATTCGGAAAGTCTGATCATCCAGGAAGTTGCCGAATACTTTCGCGGGTAGGGCGTTAAGCCAGGCTCCGGCATACTTCGTGCTTACTGCTCTCAGACGTGCTTCGGCTCTTTTATCGTCACCAACGTTGTTCCACAGGGTGTCAACATCCTTTTGTATTACCGCGTTATCTCAAACGCATTGATGAACACGTGCCAGATCCAATGGCAACTCTTCACAAGCAGACTCAATTTTCAAGTTCTCGCACGCATCGCTGACCAGCTGTTCGCTGTTCCCGTTGAAGATCTGAGATGATAACCGACGAGTTGCAAACATGGAAGCCAAAAAGGCCGAAGGAGCCAATGCTTTCGATCGTCGCACACCTAAACCTCCTTTGGCAACAGGAAGCGTTGCCTGCGTGTATACAAGGCTGTTCAATTTGGTGTTGGTAATTTCTTCTAGGGCATCTTTGACGTGCAAGTCGAACTCATCTAGCAGCTCCGGCACTTTCCAACACGGGCTGCAACGCAACGTGTACATGAGCTTCGGGATCGACAGGCAGTTCCGCAACAGGTAGAATCCATGATGGGCGTTAAGTAATTGCAAGCGTTCTGTAAAAATTTTCAACGAAGCAATTTTCTGATGAAGTGAGAGGGTTATGGCCTCATCAGTTAATGGTGCACCAAGAAACGTTACCGTTTCAGGCTGCAAAACAATTGCGCCAGGAGCAATTGAGTGCAGCCTGTTCTTGGCCACCTCGCGTCTTCAATAGTGCCACCTATCAGCAGCATTTCACACTTCGTGGGGTTCAGTTGTTTTCAGTTTTCCAGTGTTTCCGTTTTTCAATTTCCTTCTTGCCGTTATTACGTAAAAAACGGCTAACTTCCGGCTACATATGATGGGTTCGATTACTTCGATGGATAAACACAGTTAGCAAACTGATATAAATGTCGCTACATAAACAAATATGTATATTTTGATAGGCAACAGCCAATGCACATATCGGTATGCTTTCGACGAAAGCGTACTTCCGCCGCTTGCTGTTTTCGGCCAGTTGCGCGACACTCCCGGCTTTCAGCGAGCTGGCATGTACATGAGACACGGCCACAGTATCCCAGCAAGTTGCATCCCATACCACGGCCACGGTATACAGGATTTCTCTGGTAGCGCAAGACATTGTAGGAAAATTCAGTACTTTTTTTGCCGTCACACCTCATTAACATTTCTTGAAAGACAAAAGAAATACAATGGGCGAAACGGCCATCAAGTTGAAAACGTGTGGCAGTGGTTTTCTGATGATCCATAGGGGCTACAAACTTTTCCCAGACAGAAAGCAATAGTGAAATTTTAAGCTGATTCTGAATCCGCAATTTATTTTTTGGAACTCCAAAAAACATCTGAGTCGAGTAAAGTAGTAGAAATGTGGTTTGAATCGGACATGTACACATAGAGGCCAGGCAGGCAGCGCGCTAGCGACAGTCTGTCTGCGCCCTACAACGGCACTCACTCCGACGGCTGCTACGACTTATATGAGGTTCACTCATATTCATAATTTGACTTATGCAAAAATCATAATTTCCTATCAAACCGATAACGAGCATGGAGAGCATAAAAAACTAACAAGAGAATGTGCAATCCGTTTTGAAAAATTCCAAACGGTTGAGGCTGTAGGCCGTGCCACACGTTTACGCCCTTAATTACAACTTGATGCCTTTGAAGAAAACATGCCGAAAAGTACTGAATTTTTGTACATGCTACGTTCAGCATCATTCGCTACCAGAGATTTTTCTCTTTTATACCGTGCCATGGCCTTACCATCGCGCACGGAAATCAGGGTCATACCGTCCGGCCGCTTCCCGTGTCCGTCAGACAGTCCAGCCGGTTCGCTTTGGCAGGGATAGCCCGCGAGCTCTAAACCGCGCTTCACCTCATTGTTCAGCTCAACATGTCGCGACCATCTGCCTTTACTGCTTGGGCAAGACAAACCGTGGTGGCCGTTCGCTTCTACTCGGCTTCCACAGTTTACGCAGTCATGCTCCTCCACAACGGGCAGCCCAAATCGAAGAGCAACGCCAATTCTAACAAATAGGTTAAAATCCAAGTTGAAAGCAAACTTCAAGCAAACAGATGCCTTTACTTGACAACTTCGCGTTTTTCGGCATCCATGAACAATTTGGCAACCTCTGGTGGTTTAACAGTAATGTCATTATGGATACGGAGAAATCCGAACGAAGCCCACGAAACGCTGGCAGCATGGAATTGAAAATCGGACAGACGAAAGCGAATACTGGCTGACGTGCTCGTTTGCAGAATAGGCTGTTACGTAATGTCTGCGGTCCCGTTTGAGCGGTTGATGTAGCGGCACCGAGGGCGACCGGATACCGTTGACGCATTTAACATTATTAATTTTTATCGTCAATTAACACTTTGATTGACAGTTCATTCATGCAAAAACACTGATTGATGCTTGATCTTCTCATAGTCAGTACCGGCAGTTTGACAACGACACAACACAAAATTGCGAATTCAAATCTAGAAAAACGGCTGAAGATTCAAGGCTGAGGGCTTCTCTCGGTTCGCCATTTCCCGCCAAAATCATATTTGTATGGATTCTTCGTAAAGGGCCATAACTGTCATAATTCCCGCGCCAACAATTAATCCAAGATTTTGCGCTACCAGTATTGGAATATTGCTGGCACCGTGTTTGAGCTCCGGAAGCTAAAAATATATACATTATAGCGCCCGCACAAAGACTGTCACCAAAGAAAATTCGGATTCATCTGCATATTGCATCATTTGCAAGCTCTTACAACATAACAGAAATTTTGTGTTGCATGTTGCTCTGTACCATATCGGCCAATGCGACATAGAGGAACATTCCGGCAGCGATAACGAAAATCCACTGTCTGGCCGAATCGTATGATGCTACTGGAATTCCAATATAGAACCCAATTAAACAAGTTACGGCAGAGACCAAATTTAGCACTAAAGCCAGTTTGAAGGACATTCCGGTATTGAGCAAGATCGCGAAATCACCTGAAAAAAGTTGTCAGCACCAGACGATAAGGAGAGATCATCTGGGTAAGCAAATAAAGGTTGTTATCACAATAATATTATGTTCATCTTTTATGCAACGCAGCAAGACTTTAACAGATGTAGTACGTAAACTCGCGTTTCCAGTTAGTATTACAGCTTGAATGGCTGTTGCATATTAGTAAATATGTCATGCTGTAGCTGTACTGATACTCGTATATTGCTTGAAATTGCTTAGCACTACGTTACACGAGGTAGTAGGTAGTACACTCGTATGTAGGCTAATGTACTCTGTAGCCCAAAGTTTGTTGAAAAACTTTTACTTTTTAGATTAAGCAGCTGTTCGGAACGCAAACAACTTTCGGCTTCGTTACGGGAGTTTTGAAATAAAGATTTGGTGGCACTTCCGGCGATTTGAAGGTTCGTTCAGCTGATTAATCAATCTTTTTTATTAAGACAGCTGGTGACCATTTCTTTTGAAAGCTGAATAAACGGACGGGGACAAATTTGAACAGAAGAGGTTCAGTTTGAACGTAGCAGAATTTTTTTGGGCATCCGAGTTTTTGGTCTTGATTATTTACAGCAGCAAGGATGTACAAAAGGAATAATCGCAACTACAAATTGCACTGCAAAAAGACTGCGCTCTATCTACCTAGTTCATGAGGAACCTCGTGGCAGAAAATGGCGATGGAAGTGGAGATTCCTGAACGGACATCCAAGGAGAACGCAGCGGCAATGGTCAGGCCATCGCCGAAATTATGAATGCAGTCTCCCAATAAAATCATCCATGCCAAGGGAGTGATCCCTAAAATATCCTGTCCCCGAAGTTACGAACATATGTAACCCGCTAGGCTGTGCCCTTACAACGGGAATTTGATATCGCTCGACATACCTTCCGTGTACTGCTCTTGTCATCGCTCGAAGTGTCGCGTTTTGAGTGCACATAATATTGTATTGAATTTTAAAAAAAAATGGGAAGTACGTACCCATAAATCTGTGCTGGTTATGGGTATGCTCCCTGTGCTGTTCGGTTGTACGTGTGCCTGGTTCTCCGTTAGAAGATTGCGATGATTGCAGTTCCGTTTGCGCGGCAGAATTTTCGCTGGGCTTCTTGTTAGTCTTTGCAAAAGTACTTGGATCCGGTACGTGCGAATGGTCATGCTGCAGTTCCTTCCCATTAGCCACTGTTGGATCTTGTGCGCCTGACGTTCTGTGACCTCTTCTGCGGCTGATGAAATAATGCAGCGACATTTCCCAAAGGAAAAAGACGTAGATGGCTCCAAGACAGGCAACACCTCTCCATACGGATATACTACTGTCGGAGACATCATCATCGGACTTTACATGACTGGATGCGGATCCGTGGTCCTGTCGGTTGCGTAAAGCCTACAAAACCATGTTGCGTAAAGCCTACAAAACCGTTCCCGACCATCCCTGTCAAATGGCAGGGTGGCGGACTTAATTCCTGTAGCAACCCACAACGCAGAAACCTCGTAGTTAGTGATTTTATTCCAGAGTAGGGATGTTGTAGGCCCTTTTAAAAATTTTGCCATCAGATGCAGTATGGCTGGGGCACGCAGCAAGTGGCCGAATATCACCAAAATGGCACCTTTGGGGTTCGCGGAGGTCTTGGCTGTACATACGGCCACCCCAGCAACCGATAATTCACATATAATTTATCTAAGCCAGCCCTGTGGCAGACATTGCAAAAGTATTTCATGGTCTGCAAAATAGCTGGACAGTGGACAAAGATGGTCATTTAAAAATTTCCTGCCACGTTTGACAGGGATGGGCACGGTGCCACTTTAACAATAAATTTTACAAATTCTACATAAAATCATAGAAACATAATAAAAAACCAAACATGGAATCAGAAAATCGAGAAAAAGAGTAGTATAAGCCTTAGCGTTTCGATGGTCATCCAAATGACCAGTGGTCAGAAAACAAAAAAACCTTTTAAAAATTCACTTTTTTGGGTGGTAAAACTTGTGCAACTATATATGAATAAAGTGTAAACTATAAAAACTAACGCGAATTACTGAGAAATAAGAAATTTTTTGCGTTTTGGCATTGAAATTTTATAGACTGTTCCTAATTTGCATACAGAAAGCGAATGAAATGCGCGCTTTGCCTAGCCCGGTATATGACGGAAAGGTAGTTACACAGCTATTTGAAATTACACTTAGTTACTGCATGCTGCCTGCGTATCAGTTTTGTGGAGTTGCCGAGCTATAGCGGAAGGAAGCGGAAATGACCATGCGGAAATGAATTATCCAGTGCCAACGTGCTGTACTCCATTCACTGTTAGTAGTGCTGTGCGAATTTTCGCTCTGGTTTTCGGCTCAAAGAATGCTTGTAAAATGCGTAGAATGTTACTGATGTGCCCTTTACTCACTTAAAACTTAAAAGTCCATCAAAACTCAGCTTAGTCAGCGCCAAAAGTAAGCGGCAACAACGTACAAAGAGAAGCACAAGTTCTCAATACGCAAGCAAACACGGGTTTAAGCGACACACCGCAAATTCACTGAAAAGGATGCATTTTGTTGCTCTTTTTTCTGACTTAATATCATTCTAAACGGTTCTCCATGTAAACAAAGTAGACACCGTACCTTTTCTAACAATTAGCCGCCAAAAAATGTATGTTTTCACAATTTTCTGCGTTACTGACCACTGGTCATCTCGATGACCGCATTAGCGTCTAAGAAATGTAGGGTTTTCAGAACGGTTTGTTTAAGTGGTCGTGGTCCTCAGTGCCATCTTCCAATAATTTTCTGCAAATTTCGGCGTGTGACCTGCCAAATGGCAGGATGCCCATCCCTGTCAGTTTGGCAGGCTATCGCCCTGCTTGACCTATGGTCACGAAAATTCCCAAAAAATTAATTTTTCTTAATTGAATTATTTTACTATGAACTGCAAATTTTCAATTTGATATTCGCACTCCTTTGGGTACCTGACTTTGGTAGGTTAAAGGTACTCATATGTACAAAGTTACCGCGCATTTCTAGATCGTTGTCGGCAAATCGTAGCGCACAGCAACCAAACAACGCAAAATTGTTTGGTTGCTGTGCGCTAAGATTTGCCGACAACAGCAATCACATTCATACGTCCTTTATGGAACGGTTAACAAGCGCAGCAGAACTATTTCTACTTATTATTAACTTATTAACGCCGCCTTGGCTTGTGATTTCGGGCACTTTAATTTTCTTCGAGATTTAATACCGTAAATGTTAATATTTAATATTTAAGATTTTAAACCTGGAAAGATTCTGCTTGGCTTTAAAAAAGGTAAAATTGTGTTTACCTGTGGCAACAAGTGCAGCACCGCGTCCCCGCACAAAGTGCCGGCTCCTAAAGCAATGAAGCCTTGAATAGCGTAATAATAAATCTGTCTCTTCAGCAACGGGATGAGACAAATGCCCGCAACCGACAGCAGGCTGACGATCACAACGGCAGCGGTGCCATATCCATACTCTGCAAAAAGGTTGTTTTCCAAATAATTACTGATACTTACCATGGTTATCAACTTATCATCCGGTTTTGATACATTCGTAAACTTATAATAAGAACTTCGAGCGAAAGTATTACAATGATTGTGCCGCGGACGCGTTTTAGAGGGATTCTCTACTTACTTTCTGCATCTGTTATTCTGGAAATTTCGTTTTCCGTAGTATTTAGCTCCGTAGCCATTTGGCACACTCCAGAATATGTCTGCTGTATGAGAGCGGGACAAAGACGTTGGAATTCGGATTTCGTAAGAGTCGACTGTTTAATTGTGAAAATGTCTAGCAGCTCATCCAGCGCCCAACAGGATCCGTTAGCAGATTTTTGCAATGGCCTGTTTTGCCTCGTGGAACGGCTTTTTCTATCATTCTCTTTAGCCTGCTTCCAGTTTGTGACGTTACCGATTTCCAAGTGTTGCATTATATCCGCTAATTCTAAACAATTAGGAATGTGTGGACGTACAGTTGTTGCACTTAAATCCACTTCCTTGGTAATGCAGCTACTATACGTAAAAGGGAGCACCAACTTTCAATAGACAACCGGCTCCCGAAATCAACGTCGAACAGCGATTGCGCGAACGCCTCCGGTCCCGAATCCACTACTGTAGTTTGCCGTGGTGATGCTTGTTTTGTATCTTTGAGAATACGGCTCCCCGTTTGGGAAGTAGAAATGGGAGTGTCACTTGAGATCTCTTGTGGAAGTCTTGGTGCACCTTTTAAAAACAAGTACTGTTACATACGTGGGATGTTTGTCTTTCGGAAGTTCTTTGTACAGATAACAATAATACGTAAATGTTTGCGCGTACAATCGCAAACCAAGTAATTTAGATTTTTAGCGGAGTAAATGCCGCATTAAACTCGGCTGTTGATAATGCCGTGAATAAGTTATACCTGCGTGCCCGAGCGATTTCGCGAGATCCGCATGGATATCGTTTCCTGTCACTAGACAGTTTGCGGAACTATATAACTGAACAAAACAGCAGCATATCACAACGGGAATATTATACTTGTAGCTGTTTATGAAAAACATTTTATGTATGGACACTCATGTTTATAAACGCCAGCCAGAATGAATAGTGCTAACGAGAATGTTGAGTAACTTACGTGCAGATTAAAAAAAAGGCGTGCACCGTGTGGACTGCAACTCAGCAGAAACTGCAACACCACCTAACAAGTGGAAACAATAAAACGAAGCTTTCTGTGAATAACTCATGGCTGGGCAAGTGTGTTTTTAAGTGGGCTCAGCCGGCAAAAACCTATTTATGATATTGACATCCACAGAATGCAAACTCATCCACTTGAAGTTCTCCGCTTTGCGTGGCCGGTGATACATCGGTCCTGAATTTATATGTTATATTTTTGATAATCTGAAAACCATGGTCAGTTTTAATACAGTTGCGTTTGTTTTCTTGTTCAAACGCAGAACTCAAAATCAAAATCGGTTGCAAGTGGTATACAGGGGGCAAAACCAGGCATTTTCCACCGTTCCGCTGTACCTGCTGCCGTCATCCGACTGGTGTTTGACGTTGTGGCTGAACATGGCGCTTACATACCGCGCCAGATTTAACCATATGTAGTGTCGTAACGTCACACTCCAGGCGGGTGACGGCAGCAGTACAGTACAGGGGAACAGTGGAAGATGCCTGGTTTTGTCCCTTATATGTACCAGTGCTACCGACTGTACATGTACCGTACATTAAATGTCAGTATACAGTGTACACACGTTAGAGGATCTCTTGTACTCTGTACGCAAAAGGACATAGGTGCTTGCAATTGCGGCATAATTTGTTGAATATGGAATGTTTTTGCTGAAATACAGGATTCGGGGGAAAATAATCAACCTTTTTTCACTAACTGATTTTATTTGTACAAATTTATCTGGCATCGTTTCGGCAGCGGTTTTGAAACCGTAAAAGCGATAGGGTAGAGTTATCTGTTCTTCGTTTTTTTACCCATATTATATACAATAGTTTTTCGTACCGATCCAAGATTTGCAAATAAATAATTCTTGGAGCCCGGAAAACGTCGGAGAAAGATACATTTGGCTGGGCCAGATTGCCAAAATAGAATAAATAGATGCCTGAAAAGCAAAAGCACTGATCAAAGCGGCTTTTCGGTGATGCATTGTGCTGTGCCTTCTTTCTGGAAGCTCTGCACCGATTTACAGAGGATGTGAACGTGGAGGGTAACATACTGTTTATGTGAAGCAGTAGTTTCTAGTGGACGGAGCCTGAACCATGTGAAATCTAAAATTCCCTATTAAAGTTTGAATTACGATCGTACGTTCAGCATATATACAGGTACCTATGGGCAGCACAGAATGTGCCTATGTGCAACATGGTAATATAAGTTCTGCTCGGGTATCAAGAACGTAAGGCCAGCGGAAGTTGCCACCGGTTAGTCTTTTTAGCAACTATCTGTATGTAATTCTACGATATACTACAAAAATACCTGTTTTATAAAGTTTTTTTCCAGCTAATCACGTTTGTCTCAATATGCCGCATACATGTACCGCGAACGTATAACAGTAACAGCAGCAATAATAACAATTACGTATAACAATTTACCAGCAACACTGCTCCGATTATAGCGGCGGTATTGAAGAAAACAGTATCTGCCGAACACCTGAGTACTGTGCATTCAGAAAACGTCCATATGGAAATTCGGCTCACATTCAATACAAGCATACGCTGCATGATTCAAAAAAAATACTGTTCAATAATTCCGCGATTCTACCGCACACCATTCGCTGGCAAAGGACGCGGTTATCTCGCTGAAATAAATTTTCGCGAAATTAGTCATTCGTTGTTGTGTTAGATTTTTTAAGAACAATCGCAACATAAAAATGTTCACCATGGTTTCTCGTAAAAACCAGCTTTCGGAAATTAAACTGTTTACAAAGTTTTACTTTGAGAACGGACGAACGAAAGATACAATTAAATTTCAAAGCTACCATAGATTTGGCATGCCGGAAAGAGATGTGTCCCGTAAATTCCAACGAAGCAATGTGGTAGAAAATTCCGATGTCTTCGGCTGGGTAGTTGAAGATATCTTACCACACGCAGCCCTATTACTGCAAACCCCATCCAGACAGCGACAGTCATGTGAATGTCGCATGATGGGATGGGGAATGCCGAAATACGGGCGCATCCGTTTAACAGCAGCTTCCGCTAGCCAACGATGTGGCACTATCGGCGGATCAGCAATAAAATTTACCCGGGATTTCAAGAGAATCATACTGTAAGATAAGATAATCGTAATTTGTAGCTAGGTGTGTATTAGAATATGTCGATACCAAATCTATCTCGACTCCCTTTATAGCGGGCAGAATTTTATCTATAGCGTACTCGTAGTGGAAAAGTACCAACTTGTGACATTCCATTAAGTAATGCTTGTTGTGCCAACGCTTGCGTGTCGTTGTCTATACTTTGAAATCGCTTTCTGCAATCTTCTTATTCGGTTTTGGCTAATTGACCTTTGACTGGTGTACCGCTGCGCTGAGGGTGCTAAGCCTGGTAGTTTTTAGCTGGTGAATGCACCGTCAAAGTACTGTATCGATGATATATCTGCTTATACAAACGTTACCAGTATAACGTTGTATGAGTATATTTAGATCAAAAACACTGATATGCATACGCTGATACACAATACAGATAATTAAAACATTTTATACAGAAAACAACTATCGATACGCCGCGTCAATACTGGCTAAATACTTATTCAAGGTTTTGTTACAAATTAGCAGTTAGCTTTAATATTGTAAACTTTACGATTCGGCATCCTGTTTCTTCTGCATTGTTCAGGGAAATAAGTTCACAAGTAAACTAAATTGTTATACAAATTATTTAGTGCTGCGCTTGACCGACTGGTGCGCCGGGGTACCGCTTCGCCGAAGCAGACACGTACGCGGTGAACGGTTTTAGCTGGCAGACAGAAAGTACTAAAGGCTAATTTGTAATGGCTACCCTGGAGTACATAATTTAGTCTGGTAAATAACAGCGGTGCAACCCTGGCAAATCATACACTACGTGTGTGTGTGTGATGCCTTGGTGCAACCAAAGCGTCTGCGCGAGTGAAACGATCAATGCGAATTTCTCGCCGACAGTGTGGTTTTCATCGACTCGTACTGCGTCGTACATTCAGTGCCTACCATCAAACATTTCTCATACCCGCATTATAAAACCGATCACGCGCTCTAGTAAACTAGACACTGCTATGACCTTGTACTTGTTGCCGCGCCGGCGCGCGCGAATGCCACAGGGAGCTAAAAATTTACCAGCGTTTCGGCATGCCCCAACCAGACACGGTGCAGTCGGTTGATGTGCACCGTTTGTGGATGGGGTTTGGAGAAACACGGATGAGTAACTACTGGACCGAATGCATCGCGTTGGCTACTGCTTCCCTGGCAGCGGTCGGATGGCGCCTTAATGAATCGATGTCGTGTGCCATGGAATCCAGCCTCGAAGAGACGGCGAGCCAACGGAAGTATCGGTTTCGGTTATGGTCAGGATCAAGTCACTGCTATCGCCGGCTCGCCGCTAACATAATTCGCGGAGAGGTTTTGAGATGTTTCTTTACTTACTGTAAGCCACTTACAGTCAGTCATGCGGTATAATCGTGAGTGCGTACATAAAACGGGACCGATAAGAAGTTTTGCGAGCCGTTCGCTTTACCGAAACGGATATAAGGAAGGCTTGTCATTGTATGTGCAAACGAGTTACCGCCGTTTCTGCAGGTACAGTTTCCTCGATCACGGAAGTAATAACATATCTATCAACAAGAACCAGTTATAATTACTCATACACGTCAGAAGTATGTTTTCCTTTAACTGTGATATAACTCACATATTCCTAGCGTATGGGTAATGTTTAAATACTGCAAGTATTAATCATAGTTCTCTATAATAATACACGTAAATGTAACGATAAACGTAAAATTATTTAATATAATACACGTAAAATAGGTGTACACGTAAAATATAATATATATATACCCGCAAATGCATTATACAACAATATATTATTAAATGCGACGGTTTGTAAATATATGTTGCATGAAATCGTTACACACAGGTAGATCAGTATTAATTATAAAATGCTTTGCTCGTCCGATAATGATCAGTTGGTCACGCTGCATTAATGCTGGGAAACATCGTGCGCAAAAGACCCTTGCAGACAACATTTTGTCAGCTCCAGTTCAGTGAATTGCTTACTTAAGTTGCTATCCGATGGCTGACTGATTGGCGACCGGAAGTTGCGTTAATCTATCAGTCCCATGTGGACAATTCGGCATTGAACGATTTCAACCTGGTAGAAAATAAGTACTGTAGGCAAACGTATCTGTAAATAAGAATTATGGCCACGTGGCGGCTGGCTGCCCGAATAATATATACTCGTACTGCACGGCATAGTATTCCGGTACAAGCTGCTTCACATGTGCAATATTGAGGCTTAATCTGTTGAAAATAGTTGATTTATTATTATGCGGTAAAAACTGCGTTGCTGTTTCATTACGGTTGATGCCCAACTTAATTGGCGAGTTAATCGTTGTACTGGATTATTACGATAGCATCTTATGATTTTATTAGCGCAGCTGCATGGTGCTCTCGTTAAATTGCTGCGAGAAATGCATACGGGAATATAGTTATATAAGCACACGCTTGTGTACGCGCAGAAGCAGCACCATTCACGTAAATAACGTGTCGATTTATTTTATTTTAACAGTTTTGTATTAAATTTTCTTTTCTGTTTCTTGTACGGGAAACAGCTAGTGTAACGAGAACTACCTGTAGGTAGGACAGCAAACAACGGAACATACATTATTCAAAAAATAAAATTATGTACAATTCTATACAATAATAAATAAGTTATATGCAATGTTTATATTTACGTGTAGCGATAATTGCAACATAATAATTTTCTAACTACAAAATGCATATTGTACAGTTTATACTGATAAGTGCATTCTGTATTGAATGATTAATAGAAAAACGTAACGCGCCGGAAATAACAGTACTATTTTCGGGTGAAATATAG